ACAATAAAAAAAATAATTGACAGAAAATGCTTTGAAATGATATATACACACATGCATAATTGTAGACAAGGCATGGTTATTATTCTGATTGCTTCTCACTATACTTAATGTGTGTTTCTGAAGACAATAAAATAAATGAGAATAATAGATTACAAAATAACCAAAATAGATTTTATTTGAATTAATATACTTTTGAAATTACTTTTTTTTAAACCTAGACTTCTTGGTTGATAAATACATATTAGTGTGTGTGTTTATAGGTGTGTGTGTGTGTGTGTGTGCTCAAAAATGTACACATTCCTAAGACAATTCTGAACAAGAAAATATACAAATACATTTTTTTTCTGATGGAAACTTGAGATGAAGTATGACTTTGGAATTATAGATGGCATGCTTTTAAATATCATCATGTGGAGACTCTTCTTTTCTCTTGCTTATACAAAAAATAGCACTAACTAAATTTCTATTTTATTAGAAAAGGCATGGATTAGAAGTAGAAGTTAGTTTCTACCTTGGGCTCTTCAGAGGGTGTGGTGAGCTATTTTCCATGTATTTGGAACAATCCCTAAGTAAAAAAATCACTCGGGACCCAACCAGCAATGGGAGAGATGGTTTCTGAGGCTCACACAAATTTGCCTAAAGGGTTCTTTTTGGTTAGCAAGCACATTTCAATGCCCAGGTCATGCTTGACACTCTGATGGCCATGCCAAAGTATCAACTCTTCAAATAGAATAATGGGGTCATTGATCTGGCATTTTAGCCAAAGGAAAATACATAAAGGAAGAGAAAAAATTTGTAATACCTGGAAAAAGCATAGATAGTTAAGGTTTAAATAGTTTCAGTCATCTTTTGATGAAAAAAAGAAGACATGATGATAATTGGACATTTGTAAGTTATGGTGTTAGGCTACGTATGTATGTGTTGCTAACCCCTAGGCATAGCTAAGTTTTTGGAATGGTAAATTTGGAATGGATTTTAGAGAAGGAGAGTGAGGCTCTGACAGGAAAGGTCTTTCTGAAGGTAACACAGGTCGCAAGTAGTAAATGTGAGAACTTCTCTGCAACACACAAGAGGCCAAAGAGCATAGTAGTAAAAAGCATGGGACTGGAGCATGGGACTTGGGCTTAAACCCAGTTTCTGCTTCTTAGTAGCTGTGTAAGCTTGGGAAAGTCATTTAACCTCTCTATGGTTCAGACTCTTCATCTAAAAAGTGTTGACAATATTAAATAATGTGCCATATAAAAGAAGAGTATGAAGTATCTCGGACATAATAAACATAGTTATAATAAATAATACATTATAGCTATTATTATTATTAATGGCTCCAGGACAGAAAACTACTTATGTGATTGATACCATGTATAATGTATCCTTTTATACTTGTTTGACCAATTCAGAAAAGTTAAATGAGAAGCAACTTCTTCACTTGAACTAAAGAGTGCAGTCAATTGAAAATGCTACATTCTGGAGAACATTCTTATATAGCATAGTATTTTTAGTGCCTTAAATACTATCAGTTGAAGTTGTTATTTAAGTAACAGTCTATTTAGACTTCTGAAATGAAGGATTTTTCTTTAATAAAAAATATCTATTTCATCTTAAGTATGAAACCCAGTGACCCTGGTTTGGATAATCTCCCTAGATGCTTCCACTGTATGCTGAGCACAGAATAAAGATATAGATTGAAGAAAATTTATTTCAGATATTATAGATTGGAGGCACAGCTATGTGTGGAAGTGGGCCATGAAAAATGCAAACTCAACTCCCCCCTTGAACCCATAGTAATTTATCTCAAAAACATTGTTGAGCTCCCTGAACTGCAAAGTAAGTAACATACTCCCAGCAGCTTTAAATCTTCTGCAAGGGACAAGCCAGTACTATTCTAAGCGCTCTGCACCATGGCTTGGAACTGTGCACATCACCCAGCATACTTCCAGGGGTGATGACCTTAAGTCAAATGTGCCCAGGTTAAGTTCTCCCAGGGAACAAAAGATTTCAAATGAGAAGAAATGAAAAATCAACTGCAGTGTCCTCATTGGGTCCTTGGTGCCCAAAGGAAAGGGAAAAACACTTACTAAAACAATGTTTTGAATATTTTATTTATTTATTCTCTGTATATTTATTGAGCACCTACTCTGTGACAGGCCCTGTTCTAGGCACCAAGAATGAGAGGTGAACATCACAAAACTGATCTGCTCATGAAGCTGACCCCATTTGTACCAGGGACTTTATTAAAGATACACAGATGAATGAAACCCAGCTCTCCTCTGCAAGGAGTTTGGAGAAAAGAGGGAGAGAGGGAAAAGATGATAAAGTGGGTTGCGGTAGGAGCTCATGCCCTCTGAAGATCAGTAAGGGCTTCCTGGAGAACATGATCTCCAGCATGATGCCCAAAGGGCAAAGAGGAGTTAACCAGTGGTCACTGTAGGCAGAGAGAGCAGCTTTTCCAGGGCCCATAAAAATGAGGAGAAACTGCTGTGGCTCAGTGTGCTATGTGGTCAGATGGTGACAGGTAGGGACCAGATGATGAAGGGTCTTAGAAACCATGTTACCTAGCTTTATACTTTATCCTAGGGCAATTGTAACTATTTATTTTTATTGATTGATTGATTTGATTGATTTTAGAGAGAGAGAAAGGAAGAGGAAGAGAGAGATAGAAACATTGATAAGAGAGAACATTGATTGGCCACTTCCTGCATGTCCCCCACTGGGGATTCGGGCCCACAACCTGGGCATGTGCCCTGACCAGGAATCAAACCAGTGACCTCTTGGTGCATGGGTTGATGCTCTACCACTGAGCCACACCAGCCAAGCACAATTGGTTACTGTTGATTGAAGTCAATCAAGGAGTGACATGAGCAGATTTCAGCTGTAATTTAGAGGATAGACTGGGAAAGGTGAGGCTGGCATCAAGGGCACCATGGGAGATGGTTGCAGTACTAAGCAGGTGAGGGGCAATGTGCTCCAACAAAGGCAGTGAGGATGGATGGGAAACAATGGGCAGATCTGAGAAACACTATGGAAGTGATTGTCTGGAAGTAGATGGTAACGCAGAGGGTGAAATAATAGCTGACTCCCAGGTTTCTAGTGTGGGACACTGTACAGAAGATGATGTCAGTCACTAAGAGATAGAGGTGGAGGAGCAAATTCAGAAGAAGGAAGTATGATTAGTTCAGTTCTAACATACTGAGTCTGTGGTGCCTGTGGGGCATCTCCGTGGAGGTGTTCAGTAGGCAGCTGAATATGTGGCCTGAAGATCAGGAGAGAGCTATGGACTGAAGTTATCCGGGTAAAATAGTCAAATCCTGGAGACTGCAGGGGCCTGGAAAACATCACATTGACGCAGTGAGCACAGAAAAAGATGACTGAGCAGGAAAGGACAGAAAGCTAAGAGAATATTCTTCAGTCACAGAAAAGAGTGGAAGGATGGGAAAGTTTTAAGAAGAATGAAGTCATCAGTATCAAGTACTGACAGAGATCACTCATACAGGCACTAAAATCTGTCCATTGGACATAGCTACAGAAAGGCCATTCTCTAGGAGGGGGACCACCCAGACTGCTTTGCCTGGATGGAACCATCCCAGTTTATGCCTGTGGTTCCAGCATTATTATTCTTACTGCTCCCTAGTGTCTAAATTTGGATAATAAATTACAGGATCATCCTGGTCATTGGTTCCTGTAAGAGCAGTCAAAGAGATTGCGGTGGATGTTGGGATGAATTGGAAGAGAACTTTTTGAAGGGGTGTGGTGAGGCTATTAAAGAGAGAATTTTAACGTCAGGTAGTCATTGAACTAGATGGATTTTCAAGTTTCTTCCAATCCTGGGAACAATTCATTGCATTATTTTTTATTACTAGTTCTTTTTCTTCCTTTTATATCAGTGAGAATCAAGAATCTTCTATTTCTTATCTCCACACATTACAGAGCTAAAGGCAGTTTTGCAAAGGCAATATAAAGCAGAAATGTGTGAGTTGATTGTTTCCATTAAGTACTGCTAGTCCTAAATTAAGCAGAATAATCATTTGGCTTTTAAATTACTTTGTATGATAAAACATTACCAATAACAATTAGGTTGGGAATAAATATTCTGTCTCTTATTTCAGATACTGTTGACTTAGGAATGCTAGGGATACAATACAAGCCTCCCAGTTTATTTATGTATTCTGATTTTTAGAACTACCAGGTTAGATAAAACAGATGTCTGAGTTTAAACATTTATGTGTAAAATGAGAAAGATATGGATGCCTCTCCGGATACCATTTAGGTGGAGAAATCATAAAGAATGTATCTGAGGTGATTAAAATGACCATTATTATGAGTAAAGTAATATCTGAACAACAACTAATTTTATATAAAATAGAATAATTTTTAAGCCTGTATAGATATCGCAGAAAGATGACAATGACAAATACTAACAACCCTTGGAAATGTCCATGGGTGAGCAGCCTTTCCCAATGCTGTTGAATTTGATTATCGAAGGTCAAGCTTCCAGTTATGAGCCTGCCCTTCCTGCTCCACCCTCCACTGTTGTTAGTTCAGTTCTTACTAATTAAGTACCTTTGGGGTTAGAATAGGGTGAACTTAACAGTCCCTTGTTATTGTTAAGATGGAAATGACTGCCTTTAAAAAGGTGGGGGATGAGGATTTCTTCAAAAGATAGTTCTATTTGAGAGAAGAGGCTAATGGGAAGCAGTAAATTGTACAGCAGCCATAATTTCTCTGCCACATCTGGGCCTGAGAATAGCCCCTAAAGCACGCTGTAACAGAAAAGCATCTTTCTCTCTTCTCACTGCCTCTCGGGGCAATTAATAACAGTGCAATCTATCACTAATCTGACCATATACTATTATGTTAGCTAGTCAATGTAACTGAAAAGTTCCCGAACATATTTCAAATACTTGCATTATATGCACTTTGTCAATAAAATTATGCCAAATATACCTTGTAAAGATAATTTACCCTTATTCTTTGGATATCTAATCTAATCAAATCTGAAGCACAATGTGCTGCTTTTCTATCTCAGATCCAATTAATTTTCCCAGACTTCCTTTGTATTATCTCTGCTTTGTCTCTCTTGTTTAGCAGGAGCAATGGCCTCGGTTTGGCATCTCTTGTGGAGGGCTACCACCACATAAGACCTGGATGTCCTACGCTTTCCAGGGACAGAAGGAGACCCTTGATCTGTCGGTTTCAGTGGAAGCTTGGTAGTAAAACTACTGTTGAGTGGGCCAGGGTTTCAGCAGACCAGCACATGAATGGGACCAGTTTCTCTTCTTCCCAAATATCAGAAATTAAACACTTGGAAAGGAGATTTGGCCAACATGACCCATTTACAGGTTGGACTCAGTCCAGAAACTATAGAGAAAGCTCGTCTGGAACTGAATGAAAACCCAGATGTTTTACATCAGGACATTCAGCAAGTCAGGGACATGATCATCACTAGGCCTGACATTGGATTTTTACGCACAGATGATGCCTTCATTCTGAGATTTCTCCAAGCCAGGAAATTTCACCAAGCAGATGCCTTTAGACTCCTGGCCCAGTACTTCCAGTACCACCAGCTAAACTCGGACATGTTCAAAAACTTCAAGGCCGATGACCCGGCATTAAGTTGGCACTCATCGATGGGTTCCCTGGAGTGCTGGAAAACCGTGATCACTACGGCAGGAAGATTCTCCTGTTGTTTGCAGCCTACTGGGACCAGAGGAGGTAAATGTAGATACCGTCTTTACTTGTTTTTTTGTTTTTTGTTTTTTTGTAGATAGCGTCTTTGTTTTTTTTGTTGTTTTTTTGTTTTTTGTTTTTTTGTAGATAGCGTCTTTGTTTTTTGTTGTTTTGTTTGTTTGTTTACATAAGCATAGCCACTGCATGTTGGGGCTGTACAGCTTTATAGATAGTGGGCTTTCATTTAAAAAATATATTCCACATACCCACAAAGGAAGTTTTAAGGCCACAAATTTACTGTCATCAAATAATAATTCCAGATTCATGGCTATTTTTTGGAACAACAGAATCATAGTGTTAGAATTGTAAGACACCTTAGGAGTCACTAGTCTCTTCATTAAAGTGAGTCATTTATTTATTTTATTTTTTTAAATCTTTACCTGAGGATATTTTTTCATTTATTTTCAGATAGAGTGGGAAGGAGGAGTAGAGAGAAAGAGAGAGAGAAACACCGATGTGAGAGAGAAACATCGATTGTTTGCCTCCTGCACGACCCCGACCAGGGCCCGAGACAAACTGCAACTGAGGTACATGCCCTTGAGCAGAATCAAACCCACAACTCTTTGGTTCGTAGGTTGACGCTCTAACCACTGAGCCAAACCAGCCAGAATGTGAGTCATTTGTTTTAATAAAATTGAAAGCTGTTCTTCTAGAAGAACCATATATTCTGTCTGTAGTGTTCTCATCTTTAACCACCACAACAAAAATGGATTCGGAAGATAGCTTTAAATCAAGTGTTTTCAACACATAAAGTAATTTCTTGAATCCCCTCCATAAGTTTAAAATCCTATATCTTTTCTGAGTGTGAGAAGTTTCATCCTGAAAATTCTATAAAGAACCACAAACTCAACATGTCCCTGGCTGAATGCATCACCTTCTCTGCTATGCCTGCCCTTCCATCCATCCCTCTTCTTGAGCCAGAAATCTGGGTGTCATCCTGGGCTGCTCCTTGCCTTTGCATCTCACATCCAATAAACTGCTATGTCCGACCCTTTTCTTTATTTTTTTTTTAATCCTCACCTGAGGACATTTTTCCATTTTTTGTACAGATAGAGTGGGAGGGAGGGAGAGGAAGAGGGAGAGAGAGGGAAACATCGATGTGAAAGGGACACATCGAGTGGCTGCCACCCGCACGACCAACCAGGGCCGGGGACAAACTGCAACCGAGGTACATGCCCTTAGCGGGAACCGAACCCGGGTCTCTCCGGACCGCAGGCGGACGCTCTAACCGCTGAGCCAAACCGGCCAGGGCCCGACCCTTTTCTTTAAAACCTCTCAAATCTCTTCCTTTTGCTACCACTACTGTTGCTTTGGTTTGGGTTCTTATCGTTGTTCATTTGTGTTACTATGACAGCTTCCTACCTGGTGTTCCCACCTCTGATCTAGTGCCTTCTGAGCCATGCTTGTCTCCATTGTGGCCAGCGTGACCCTTACAAAATTCCATCACATCACTCTCCTGATTAAAATTCTTCAAAGTAAAGGAAGGCCCTATGTGACCCACTTTCTGTACCTCTGCTTTACCCTCTGCCCTTCCTCTGCTCTCTGGCCCAGCTGGTTGGAAGTCTTAGCTTTGCCTTGACTAGCTGAGGTTTTTACGTGCCTTTTAGATTTGTCCCATGAGACACCTGAAGGAGAGACCAACCACTTCTTGTTTCAATTCCAACCATTCTAGACACTGTCTGATTGATATCCATCTTCATGGTTCTTCAGGAAGGCGGCCTTCATAACCCGGCACTTGAGTTAGGTGCCCTTCCTCTGTTCATGTTGCCATTAAAGCATTTACAACAGAAGTGTAAGAACCACTGTTATCATAGTTACTATTTTTCCTACTTACCACATAATCTATTGAGTCTTTATATATATTGTTTAACCCACCAAGAACTTTTCATGACAGAAATTGTTATTATTCCTGTTTTACATTTGACGACACAAAGTTGTCAGAAGTTCAGTAACTCACTCAGTGCCACACACTAGTAAATACAAAGAGGGAGTTGAAGCCTGTTAGTGTGACTTGAGAGAGAGTTGACTTAGCCCGGCTGTACTGTAACTGTGTTTACT